CCCTCCGCAGCCCCCGTGGCTGCGCGAGGCTGAGGAGCCCGCCCGCCCGTCCGCGCTGCCGCGGTCGCGGCCGGGGGACTCGGGGCCAGGGCCACGGGCCCGTGCGGTGTCACAGCCCGGGGGCGTTCGCAGGAGCAACCGCAGTTATTTCTGGGAGCGTGGACAGAAAAATCCGCGCGTTCCGCTTCGGTGGGAACACGGGGCGGTGTTTGCAGGCTGCACTTGAGAGCAGCAGCCGCATCTTGGGCGGGAAACGGTGTCACAGCTGCCGCGTCAGCGTGTGCTGCTGAGGCTGCAAGTGCACCTCACTCGTCAGGAATCTAGTGTGGAAATAAGAAACTTCATGTTAGAAAGAGAAGCCTGCCACGTTAATTATGCTAATAAAGCAGTTCTGTGTATCAGATTGCAATAGGATTATTTGCACTCTGTTAAATCATATTTATTTTTTTTGTCTTAGGAAATTCATTGCTAGGCTTCCAGATAAGGGTAAGAAGATCTCTGATTTTGCTGAAAAACTGAAAGTTGCCATTTTACAAGAGGAAGAACTGGCAAGAACAGCTGAGCTGTTATCTGCTGTCCGGCTGGAGTTTCAGGTGAAACAGGAGGAGATTAATACAAGTAAACAACAAGGTATCCTAAACAAGGACACACTAAACCATGAAGATTCCTCAGCCTTCAATGAAAACTCTAACATGAAAGAAGTTTCAGAGATTTCCTCCCAAATGCAGGAGGCAGAATGTATTGAGCAGGAACACACAAATACAGCCCTAGAAAGTCAACAGACTCAGAGGAAAAAGGATGAAGTAAAGACTGTAACAAAAGATCAGAATATTTTTTGTGGAGTCGTGTCCAAGTCAGCTATGAGCAGCCATCTGAAAAACCACCAGAGCAGTACTGAGGGTGGCACAGAAAGTACAGCTGCTTTGGACAACAGTAGAGACACGCTGGTTGAGGCCTTTCAAAAAGTTACAATTGTAGATGGGGATAATAATGGAAAAGTATTGGAAAAAGAGCAGCATGTGGCTAAACATAAAGGCAATATCTTTGGAAGCCTGTACCCCAAGACACCACATTATATTGAAGTTCTGGAGTCTAGAGCCAAGAACCCAGTCATTAAAAAAAGCAAATTTAAAACAAATATGTAAGTATTATGGAATAGGAAAACCTTTTGTGAAATAATTGACTTTTATAAAATCAGAAATGGTGTGGAACAAGCATGGTGGGTTTCTTTTCTTGTGAGTCAAGAGATTCAAAGTTGTATCACCTGAGATTAATATGTTGGCTCTTCAGCATCAAGTGCCACAGGATCTCAGTGGTGAGTGGTGAAACAATTGCCATGAACCTTCACAGAGTCTCATAGCTTAAGCTACAAAACTAGTAAATAATTGGCAAAACTTTCTCTTAGACAATTCTAGAACTTTAATAGCAGGTAGCCTTTAGCTTTTCCTGCACCTCTAGGGAAATGACAACTCACCTTGTCTGTACTGGGAGCAGCAGCAGTTTATACTTTGTGTGACTCCCAGAGCATTGCTATTTGGTGTTTGTTCATCAATTACCTTTGTTGTTCACTGTCAGGAGTAACTTGTGATACTGTCCCTCTGCAGAGAAATCTTTCTATGAGTGCTGCTTATTTTTTATTTGTGTTGTCATAACACTTTAGATTTCTGAATTTTACATTTTGAAAATAACAAGATTTGGAACTGAAATTGTGCAACCTTGTACTCCAAATCTGGGTCACAGGTTTTGTGTTTTAATTTTTTCCAGATTATCAGGAGAGCAAAGTGGATCATCCCATGGCTCCTCATCCAGTCAGTCACCTGGGGGCCTTGGCTCTCCAATTACTACAGAAGAAAGAAGACTCAGAGATAAGAAACATTTGAATGACATCACAGCAGCTCGGCTGCCCCCCCTTCACCATGCCCCTGCCAAGCTGCTACCCATAGAGGAGTCTATAGCAATTCAGATACAGCAAAAAGAAGCTTATGAGGTATGAATTTAAGTTGTGGTCTGAAAAGTAATTATGTAATTGGGATCACTCCTAAAAAAAAAGTATAAAGGGATCTTTTGATACTGGTAAATTTGTTTATTAAATTGAGATGGGACAGACTTTGAGGAAAAGTGCTTTTTCTTGTACTTGATTCTTTTCGTTATATGATTAAGCAATGTATTAATCCTTTTTGAAACTGTTACTTCTGCATGGAACAAAACCTAGTGCTATCTTTGTGTGTGGATGTGCTGACCCTCATTGCACTCACTTCACCTCTGACTCAAAATTTAAATCTATACCTTGCTTGTTAGTTTGTAAAGAGTCCTGAGGTTCTTAAAATTCTGTTGTAATGGATTTTGATTTTGACTGGTAGTGTCAAGCTAATTTTTAAATGAGACACTATCATTAAAGTGCTTATTGTTTTAAAAGCATTTGCTAGTTTAGTCATCTTGGCACTTTAAGGGAGGTAATTTATTTGGAAAATGAAGGCATTTTGGCTGAGGTTGCTGAATGACAAGGATTGCTCTCTGATGTGGACTCATTTTGTTCTGTTAAAGCTGACATGAGTGTTACTGCATCACAGGTGAGGACTGCCCCATGGGGAATTTCAACTCTTAGGAAAACGTCTTAAAATAGTAACAGCACAGCTATGTCAAAGTGTGAAAATAAACCTGATGTTTATTTGCTAGTTATTAAAACTTCTAATGAAGCCCACACTGGAATTACTAATATCATCAGGTCAAGTTTATACTTAGTATATTAGTTTTTTAATGACTAGAATAAAAAGGACAAACTAACACTTTTTATATCTTGTGTTCTGTTTGTTGTTTGTTTTTTTCTTTTGTATAGGAAATGCAAGCCAAGCTTGCAGCACAGAAGCTTGCAGAGAGATTGAATATAAAAATGCTCAGGTTTGAACCAGAGGGGGAGGCCTCAATGCAATACAGAGAAGTGAGAGATGAAGATTATTTTTCAGCAGAGGACTGAGTTCAAGAAGAGATGTCTGAGGATGAGCCACGTAACTGGTTTTTATGCAGTACTTCTTAAAGCCCAAACATGGACATTGAAAATGCTCAGTCTAGTCAGTTTTGTCTTAAAATGTTAACATCACAGCCACAGGAAGAGCTCAGTATACACTTCATAAATGTCAATCTTATTAACTGGTAACCCTAGTGTTATCTGGGGACTGCTTTTTGAGCACTTGGGTCAGTTAATCCTTGTGAAACACCCATAGTTTTCAGCTACAGCAAAGTAGGCTCTTTAAATGCACTTTTTCAGGCTGTGATGAGTCATCTACAAGAGGTTTCTTTTGTCCAGAAATGGGATTGCAAAGGGCATGACAATAAAGCAAGCAAGGTGCCTGTGACCTGCTCGCATGTGCAAAAACTCCTGCCTTGTAAAAATGTGAGATACTTAATTTATATATTTAAGATTATTTTGCTTTTATCATATGGTGAAAATACACACCTGGACAGTCACAACAACTATGTGATGTTTAGGTTGCAAGTTAGGTTCCTACCATATGAGAACTTCCTTCTGTGTCCACAACTTAAAAATAACACTTTCTGTCCTTATATTGTAAACAGCTTAAGAATTTCAAGTTAGTTTGTAACTCAACTTCTGTTTGGGCTTTAAGGGAATCTGCCATTTCATTTTTGGTGATTATTGCAAAGCACATCAAGAGATCAAGTTAATGTGAAGACTTCAATATTTTTATTAAAGGTCTTGGTGTTTTTCCATATTTTTGTACACTGCTTTCACACTTTGGAATACTATTTTTTCATAGTTTGATACTGTAAAGTACCCTCTGCTTTTCTTGGAGAAGATGTCCTGTGTATTTTGCCATTCTATTTGTCCTTGGAAGATTAAAACAATCTTCCTTACAATAACATTTTCTGCTTTTCAGTAGGAATTTTGAAAGGTAAGGGACACACCTGAGAAGTATTTCACATTGATATTCCACTGTTGAGTAGGCTGTTCCAGCCCTAGTATGAGTTTGGTTCTAAAAACAAACCTCAGAGATGCCTTGTATAGTCTGGCAGCACCTGAGTTCTGAGCCACTGCAGCAGCTGTATATGCAAGGCTCTTCCTGGATGTGTATGTATTCCTGCAGGAATGGTGTCTTGAAGCTGAGGGTGCTCCAGATGCAAGTCATTCAAAAAGCTTCATGCTGCCATCTGGAAATGGGGGGGGGGTGACAGTGTCTGTCTCCTCTGGAGTGCATACAGCACTCTACTACAAGCAGTAAATCTCTCTCAGATGCTTCAAAAGCTCTCCCAGGCAGTCCCTGGCACACAGTCCATAACTTGGCAATGCAGCTCAACAAGTGGAATGGCTGCTAAGCTAGTAGGTGGGTTTTTTGGGGTTTTTTGTTGTTTTGTTTTTTTTTTACAAGGTCATCTCTTGCTTGTCTGTGATGCCTCTTTCCTGTATCCTTTCAGGTTTCTTGTTCTCATTGTTCATTGGCTTCTCAGCAGTTGTCTGTTCTTCCCTTTTCATCATAAAACTTATCTCCTGCTACTAAAGCAAATCCGTATTTTGCACCCCTGCACCATCCTTTCCTTTTCACATGACATATCACTCCCTGTATCTGCATTTAACTTCTGCCATGTGTCACACACACTCCTACCACTGCTATCTTGTCTTGCTTTCATTAAACTCCACCTAAATACCAGCTGTGCACCTGGGCATCTTCTACATACCTCCCTCACTCGAATATCTTGCAGAGACCTGAATATCTGTGTGTTTGCTGTAGCTGCTTTCAAACTGAAGCTTTATTTCTTGTTTTATTTTCAGACTGTTGCAGGTGTTTGCTACTTCAGGCCTTATAGTCAGTCTCCTTTTTATCACTTAGGTCTGAGAGTTTTCTTTATTTTGTGTGTGTGTTTGCTCCTGCCAGCTTCTCACCATCACTTGCCTTTGTCAGCACTACTTTTGGTGTATTTTCAGTCATTCGCATTCATCCCTCAGCATCCATGTTGATGACCCATCTGATGGCTCAGTTGTAACATTTCTGCCCTGGATGTTTTCTTCAGCGTGTGGCTCTGATGCCAGGGAGTGCTCTTCTCTTGTGGGTGCAGTTCTTCTCTCAGATCACCACTGTCCCTGCTCCCACCTGCTCATCCAGCAGGGTCTAGTCACCAGTTACCCCATGTTTCCAGTCTGTTGTACTGCATCCAGACAAGAAGCCTCAGAAATGTATTGGCTTTCCTTTTGCTGCTGCATGAAGCACAAGTTGTCACTTCCAGGCCTGTCTGCACTCTCCCCCTCATTAAGATCATCACCCTTGTCCCTGTACTGACAGTGCTCTCCCACCTTTACAGTTTTTAAGCTTTTCTGTGCTTAAGGAATATACACAAAGCTACACAGATCATATTTTTTTTCTAGATTACTGAAATCTAGCTCAAGATAGGTTTCTGCTGATCAATTGCCTATGTAACTAAAATTATGCTCTTTCTTTGTGCTTTTTTTGCTCTACAAACTTTGTGAGGCAGAAACAGATTTTTAATCTGTATTTTGATAGCATTCAGCATGCTGGGACTTGGCTAAAGTGGATCCCCTGAATGGGCAAGCTTGACCTTTAAGAAAAAAGTCGTTGCAGCAACAGGTGAAGTGTGTTACTTGTTATATGATTAGCAGCTGTTCAGATCAGTGTTGGGGAGGTCTGGTGGAAGAGTGTTCTGTGGAGACAAAACTAAGCTTAAGGTATGAATTTTAAGTTATTGCTAAAGGATTTTTGCAAAATCTGGAAGCTTCCATGGGGGGTTGGTGGTCCTGGGTTCTAAGAACAGGTATGTACTTTGAATTAAGATTTTGGGAGTTATAAGAAAGTAAAGAGCTGGGTATAAAGTGTGTCCTGTGTTAAGAAGGATATGCAATCCAGAAGTTTTTTAAAGGTTAGAGAATAAGACAATGAATCTTTGAATGGTTTAGTTGTACTGAATTAAGTTTATGATAAAGCATCGTGTTGCTGTTGTGTATTTCACTGTTCTCCAGTCCAAGAACATTTCAAAACATACACTGGTTGCTACAGAGCTTGCTCTCTTTTTTTTGGGAGTGGGCTGTTTTATTTGAGTGGGCTCTTAACCCAATAGAAAATAAAGAATTGAAACTATATTTCTGATGTTCCTCATGTGAATTGTTTTAACCATGTAAAGTTTGCTGTCAAGTTTTGGGGAAAACTGGAACCTTTTGTATCAGTGCTCCACAAGGAAAACACTGGAATGAAATCAGGAAACATTTGCTATATAGATAAAACTTTTGGGAGTGCAAATGGATGAGAGAATATCTGTAAGACCTGAAGCTGGGCAATTGTGTAGGTCTGAATAATGGCTGAGTCAGAGCTTACATGGTGTGTGCTGTGAGCTACAGAGTGTGAGGCAGGGCTCTGCACAGCTGTAGTCCCTTGATTTTAGCATGATTAGGAGTACCTGCTCCCCAGCCTGCACAGAAGGAAAGCCCTCCATTAGAGTTTCTGTTCACAGCTGTAGCCTTTCTTGAGGGAGAGCACAGGCAATCTGGTTTGCCAGCTGGGTGAGGATTAGGCAACCTAAAAATTATGTTTGGGAAATAAGATTTGAAAGAAGGACCTAAATGCTGTACTTAATGATTTTGGGGGATTTGTAAGAGGTTAGAAAATATTAATATTTTCCTGGATTTTAGAGTTAAACCTAGCTAAGAGGTTAGCAGTTCCAGTAGTTTTCCATCTGATGGGTTGTGGACTGCTTCCAAGGGCCATGGGATCAAACACAGGTCAGTGGCAGTGAGCTGCAAGTTCCTGTGTGGAGGAAACGGGGCCTGCACATCAAGAGAACCTGAAAACTATGGCTCTGTGCTGTGGAATTTCTGAACCTGCTACAGGGATGCAGTATCAGGAGTTGGCGAAAAGAATATCCAGACTCAGACTGATTAGTCAAAGCTTTAGCAGGAAGCTCTGGTAAAAGCTGTTCACGCTCCATGAGTGGCCCTTGGGCAGTCGTTTGGGGGTTTCTGTATGGAACTTGCAGAACATTCCCATATCACAGACACACCACAAGCTGGCAGCCTTTAGCAGTCTCGCAGAGGAGGTAGGACCTAACTGGCCTGAGTTGCAGGTGGGGATCTGGCTGGTTGTTTTGTACAGTTACATTGCAGAGGCAGTTCCTGGGGTCTGGGAGGCTGGCTCAGCTGTGTATCAGGCTGGGTTTTGCTGGTGAAAATGATCTGTAGTGGGACCCTGTTCAGAACATTTTTGGCCTAATTTGAGAGGCATCTGGCTCCTGATCTGCCTTTATCGAGATAGTGTCTGCAAGGAGTATCCTTGAGCCAGGGGAATAGCAGTGTATTCTTGGCCTTTTATATCAAATAAATGGTGTAAAGGGGACATGGGAGTCCTGTGCTGGAAGAAGCTGTGCCCTACCTCATGGACTCTGCTGTAGGAAAAGGTGGCTTTTCTCTGCTTTCCTAGCCTTGCTGCTTTCTCAGAGCAGCATGAGAAGCAAGCGTCATTTCTCCAAAGTGTCTTGTAAGGGCAGATTTTTCAGGGAGTAGGTCTTGCATGGTGTGGTCTGGCTCCAGGGAGGTGTTAACTGAACTCTATTTTTCTTGAGTTTGTGGTTTATGTTTTGTTGCAAGTCTACTGGTCTTAGGGTGGTATGTGTGGAGATCACCACTGAGATTTCCTGGTTTCCTAATGTTTGGGTTTGGGTTGTGAACTCCCACATTCTGGGAGAGGGAAAGGAAAGTAGAAAAAAACAGCTGTGTGAAAAAAACATGTATTTTGCTGTGGTGTTCTTGTTTTTTTCAGTAAGCTAATGATTGTGTTTTATTCTCACACTTCCGCAGTGCTGCCTCGCTGCTGACACTGTGGCTGGCAAGTATTAGCTGACTGTAGTCCAGACACTACACTCACATGGACTCTTTGTGGGATAGGAGTGCTTAACTCCACTGGACTCCTTTGTAAATATTGTAATTGTTATTCCATGTGTATGCAAAGCTTTAGAGGCATTTAGTCATCTCTTGTTTAAAGCAACTGTTTTGATCGTTTTATTATTAAGATTTTATTAAATTGGCCCTTGATTTGGTGAAGCATGTTCTGAAGTCAAGTCTTGATTCCTCTAGGAACATTTATGTGCAAATGCTCTGTTGAAC